CCTTCTTCCGCTTTTGGTACTTGACCAACTTTTGCTTGCAGAGGTCTGATACTGGTTTTGGCATCTACGGAAAAAAACATTGTTTTGATTAGTGGTATGTTCAACACTTCAAGATTTTGGAATTTGTGTGGGGATGCCGTGAAATAATGATCAAAGTGAATAAACATTGAGTGATTGAATATTTGATGGATTGAATGTTTGATTTGGGAAATGAATCAATGTGAGATTTTATGAATGATTGATTGATTGAATGAGTATTGAGTAATTTCTTGAGGATTGAAATCAGGAAGCACCGAGATACATTTAGCAAAGGGTTAGGCTGGTATTTGGGGGTCCCCTCGGTCACTTGCCCTGCCCTTCACAAGACATAAGCATCTCTGCATGTATCTCAAGTACTTCCGTCTTCCATGAGTCAATGTGAATAACCTTGAGCTGTAAATCTTTGGATATAAGTGAATTTGCATATGTGAATAATTGTTTGAAGGAATGATTGATAAAGTAATTTCTTGAGGAGTTAAATCAGGAAGCACTGAGTTACATTTAGCAAAGGGTTAGGCTGGTAGTTGGGGGTCCCCTCGGTCACTTGCCCTGCCCTTCACGAGACATAAACATCTCTGCATGTATCTCAAGTACTTCCGTCTTCAATGATTGTTGGTGAGTAAATCATGAGTGGTAAATGTTTTGAATTATATGAGTCTTCTTTTGCGATGAATTGAACAGATGTTTGAGAAATATTGATTGATTTATTAATCTACATTCAATTATTATTGGCTTCTTGTGGATTCTTCAAGGTTCTATTTCTTCTTGAGGATATAATATTTGTTCTTATATGTTCTGTCTTCATCATGTTGAAGTGTAAGGAAGTAATGGGAAGAAAAAGGAAGGAGCAAGATTACCTTGGTTGATTCAACAAATTGAAGGAAGCGGACAGTATGGTTTTCAGTAATAAGATCAGCAGAATCAGAGAACAAAGGACTGGTTAAATGCTTGCACTCGAATGGTGGCTGAGTTGTGGTCAGCCATCACACTGTGTATACACATGTAGCCTTACACATTACAGTTGATATGTCTACATATCTAACATGTAAACATATGGTTCACACAAAAGTTGCCCCACCAAAAGATTCATCACTCTTTGAAGGGAAAATCCCCAATTGGTTTTATAGCTTCTGTGATCAATCTTTCAATAATTTTATTTGTGAAGAAAAAAATTAGATTTGTAATACTGAAGTTCTATAGTCTCCAGCCGTACCGTTGAGTTTTTTGGCAAAAAATATCAAGTCACATCAGGATAAGAAAGTTTGGTCAGTGAGAATTTTTCAAATAGAGATAACTGTCATATAGGTTTAACACTCAAATTGTGGTCGTATAAAACAAGTGACTTACCTTTTATAGAATCATGTATATTGTCAAGTGCACTGTACAAAACAACCAAGTCAGTCTTATGATAAAAATGTATGAGAGTGATAGTATAGATAATATAAAATGATTTACCAATGAGCTGAAGGTGTAGAAGTATCTTTTGATTTTCAAAACACATCATGATTTTCATCTTCTAGCCAACCTAATAAAAACCAATTCATCAGAAAAAAGAACTTTGACATATATAAGAAAAACTTAAGAAATTGGATAATTTAATCCTTAATAGAACTAACATCTACAGTTCGATAATGTACATATTCTGCTGTATTTACCATTCTTTCTCCTTTTTAACATTCCAAATCATAATCTTAAAAAATTGGCTCACCATT